GGCGCCGACCCTTGCCCGCCTTGCCCACACCCCAGGCCACCTTTGTCGTCCTCAACCTCCTCGCGATGAGCGGCGCGCTGTACAAGATGAACACGATGGGCCTGCTCCCGAACACGCCCTCGGACTGGGCCTCCTTCCTCGTCGTGCCTCCGCCCGTCCAGGTCTCCACCGGGAGCCAAATCTCGGCGCCCCTCGCCCACTGACGCCACGTGGCGTCGTACTCTGTGTCTGCATTTTGTGGGAGGCGACACACGCCTCTCTCTCTCGGTCGGTGTCTCTCGCCGTATCGGCTATCGCGCGGCCGGCGGCCGGGTCTACGGTCTAAGGCACTATGCTCTATGGGCTGAGTTGGACTCGCCACCGTGTATATGTACAAATAAACGACCGAAACCCGACACACATTCTGACTTCAAGTCCACACTTGAGCACACTTGCCTCTTGCGTCAGTCCGCACAGTTTAGGGACGAAAGGTCGTACACACACTTTTTAGTTTTTTTGGAGAGGTTTTGCGTATGGTACACGGACTACACGCTACACGCGGTCTACGTGGCTGGGTTCACAGGGAGTAGGAAGATTGGGAAACTCGCGCCTCCGCCTCACTGGCACTATTGTAGCCCTGGCCGGTGCGCGTGCGAAGTTGAAGTTCCTTTCGCGTTACCCATCTCCTAGTAGAGGTGTCCGTTTTATTTATTTATTTAGTGCGAAGTTGAAGTTCCGGAGTGAATGAAAATTCGAACGCGTTCTCTCACGGTGACCAAAAAATGTCCACCTCAGAGGCACCTCCGCGCTCCGGAGGCAGGCCGCCGCACGCTGCTGCTGCTGCTGTTACGTCTTCGGTCCCCGCGGGAAGCCCCGCGCATAGGACAACAACGTCTGTCCCACACACACACAGACGCGCACATACATCATGCTCGGCCACACCCCACAGTGCAGTGGTGTGAGTACACAAGTACTAGCAGAGTGCACACCTGCCTTGGCGGGTGAGGGTCGTAAGAATCAAAGCCTCTTGGTGCCAAACGTGCTCGAGCGCGCCGAAGAGAGACGATCTACGCTGAGGGAGTTAGCGAAAGTCGCCCGGCCGCCGCACGCCGGCGACACAGCTCCAGCTGTCGAACTGACCCGCAGCTCCTCTCAGAGGACAGAGCGGGAACTGTGTCACAAATTGACTGAGGCGGTTGTCAGGAATCATCATACGGATCACATGGTGGCTCTCTCATGATGGGAGACCGCCCGACCACTCCTGGGTGGCACTGCCACCGGTGTCGCTCGACGTCCTGTCGACAGCGTGCCGACAGCGACACAGACCATGTGGGACGCGTCGAGTATCGACCTCTACTACTTACCCAGCCTTCGAGTGTATCCTGGCTGTGGTCCCACACCCCCACTGGTGTCCATCTCAGAGACCGTAGGAGGTCATGAGGGTCGATGGGAGTGCCAACCCCACAATGCCTAAAATCCAGCCCAGTACTGACGCAGTACAGTCTACACCGTACACGCCCGACGCCGCGGCCGGGCGCGGCCCGGGTGGAAATTCTTTCTTGGGACTTGGCGGGCCGGGTCTAGACACCGTATGGGCCACCGTGTATGTACAAATAAACGACGAAAACAACCCGAAATCCGACACATCCCACGCTTCTGTCTCGATGATCTCAGGCCCAGAGTGAGGTAGTGCATCAGACCTGTCCCGGATCCCGCTC